TGCTAGTATGTAAGCTCCTTTTTATTAGGAACCATTTTATTAGGAACCATTTCCATTGCTAGTATGTAAGCTCCTTTTTATTAGGAACCATTTTATTTACAATAGTATTGTAGCCTCAGACTTTAGCCCAGTGCTATTATAAATTCACATGCTAGGGGCGCCTGGGTGGCTCAGTTGGTTAAGCTTCTGCCTTCAGCTCAGGTCATGATCCCAGGGTCCTGGGATTGAGCTCCAAGTGGCATATCGGGCTTCCTGCTCAGCGGGAGCCTGCTTCTTCTTCCTCTCCCTCTCCCCCTCTTGTGCTCTTTCTTTCTCTCTCAAATGAATAAATAAAATCTTAAAAAAAAAGAAATTCATATGTTAATTAAAGAACAATGAACATATAGGCTGAATAATTGTTGAAATTATAGAGACAGTCATCCTTTTTTTTTTTTTAAGATTTATTTATTTGAGAGAGCGAGAATGAGAGAAAGAGAGTACATGAGAGGGGGGAGGGTCAGAGGGAGAAGCAGGCTCCTTGCTGAGCAGGGAGCCTGATGTGGGACTCGATCCCGGAACTCCGGGATCATGACCTGAGCCGAAGGCAGTCGCTTAACCAACTGAGCCACCCAGGCGCCCCCATCCTATTTTTTAAAGTAAGATACAATACATATTTACCACATACGCATACACAGTGTATACTATGTAGGTATCAATATTGAATTCTGAACGTAGAAAAGTGTGTTTTTTCTTTCCATTGTACCTGCAGTACCCTGTCTTCCCAAACCACGGTTATTCTAGTTGTTAATTTCTGTAGCCTTCCCACCCTATTTCCAGCCTGTTCATTACGCTTCTACTATATTCCCATAATACCTCATATACATTTCTGTAATTAAAATTGCACTGTTGCATTATTATTACCTGTCTTTATGCCCCTACCCCCACCACCATCCCAACAGGTAGAATGTAAGGTTTGTGAGTACAAGAGCTATATAACAATCATTTTTATTTCCTCAGGAAATAACGAGTGTCCAAATGATTGTTGAATGTTGAATGAATGGAAGATTTTTATTATGATTTCTTAAGTTTTAAGGGGATCAGGATCAATTTTTATTTTACTTTAGAAACATACTTTCCACATTTTTATTATAAACATTTTTGTAACTTAATTGTACTTCAGTTTATTTTTCTTTACCTTACAACTTTATTTTCGGTGAATATTGAGTTTCAGAGTTCTTTGGCGGACATAATTAGATTTATTCTTCATAAATAAATACTTCTTGAATGCTAAAATACAGGTACTATTTTAAGATAATCTACCAGTGATTTTCATATTTGATTCACTGTTTTACCACACTAGATTATCTGCTATTAACACTTAGTGAGCACCATCATCTTTTATGTTGAGAACAGTTATATTTTGACTTATTAGTCATCTACATTTTTAACTTTTTGATGACTGTACATAAACAAAAAGCTTAAATTTTTATGTAAGGAAACTACATAGGCCTTCTTTCCACCTTTTCATGTCCCACCCTAATATTATAATAACAAATTTGAAAACTATGCTTATACATCTACACAGAAAAAAAAAAGAGAAATGGAATAACAGTATGAAAATACCAGTTGCTATCATTTCTTATTTTTTCTCTGTTTAATAAACAATTTTGCTTTTCCCTGATAGATGTCATCAAAGTCAATGCTTGCCTCCTTCGTTTCAAAGAAAGGAAATAAGGAAAATATATTACCAAGTTCAGTAGATCTCAAACTTTTTTCAAGTTTTTTTCAACAAGTAAATCAAAAGAGGTCTTCCTCTGCCCTGACATTTCTCAAAGAAAAAATAATATGTGGGGGCACCCCGGTGGCTCAGTTAAGCAACTGCTTTGGGCTCAGATCATGATCCCAGGGTCCTGCTATCAAGCCCTGCATCCATTGGGCTCCTGCTGAACAGGGAGCCTGCTTCTCCCTCTCCCTCTGCTGCTCCCTCTGCTTGTGCTGTCTTGCTTTCTCTCTATCAAATAAATAAATAAAATCTTAAAAAAAAAGAAAAGAAAAAATAATATGTGGTAATAAAGGCATAGAAGAAAACAATATAACAACAACAAAGGTTATAGAGCAATTATACAACACAATGATTAACAAAGTAAAACCATGAAGTTCTACAAATATATTCATTTTTATAAGAATAGCATAGATGGAAACTACAACAAATGCCATCACATTAAAATCATGCATTGATTAAAAGAACATTCCCTTGGACAATTATAGGAATTCCAGCTACTGGATATTCATATGCACAGGAAAAGTTTTTCAAAGTTACCAAGCACTTCTATCATGTGTTTAGACTTACTAAATGGAATACTGAATTTGAATACTTAGCGAATACTAGCATCTCACTAATTGAATTAATGAATACCAAATTTTATAAATCATTCATTGATTATTAGATTGCCAGTAAGCAGCCTTAAATTGTATGTAAAATTAAAATGTATGAATTATTATCACATTTATGTCACTCGGTGACCTCTTAAAAGTACTTTCATGACCCATCATCAGTGGGCCACGAATGCTACTTTGATCTACATTGAATGTGTTATGTACTTTTCCTTGAACTCTATAATGTATTCCATTTGGCTTTATAGGTATTTTAGGTATGTAGTCCTTGACCATATTTTACAAATTTGTTAAAGTTAGTGTGGGCATTTTCTATTTTTAAGGATTTCTAAAAAGTACTGATTATATAGTAAATACTTTAACATATTCTTCTTGTAAAATTTAAACATTATAGAAAAGATTTTTCCTATGATTCCCATCTTTCAGATTTTGTTCTATGTGCTTAAATATATATAAAATAAACAAAAATATCATGCTGTATGTATTGTATTTCTTTTTCATAGATAAATGTTTATATGCTACTGTTTTGCATTTTTATTTCATGAATACCATGCTAATAGATATTAGCTTATATAAATAATTTCTTTAAAGATTTTATTTATTTATCAGAGAGAGAGAGCAAGAGCAGGGGATGGGGAGAGGGAGAAGCAGGCTCCCCACTGAGGAAAGGGCCCAATGTGGGACTCGATCCCAGGACTCTGGGATCATGACCTGAGCCAAAAGCAGTCACTTAACGGACTGAGATAAATAATTTTTATACTTGCATTTATTTTTATTTTTTTTTTAAATTTTTTTATTGTTATGTTAATCACCATATATTACATCATTAGTTTTTGATGCAGTGTTCCATGATTCATTGTTTGTTCATAACACCCAGTGCACCATGCAAAACGTGCCCTCCTCAATACCCATCACCAGGCTAACCCATCCCCCCACCCCCCTTATACTTGCATTTATTTTAACTCAACAAAGTATGTTGAAAATTGATGTTAACGATATTGATCTCCTTTATACTTTTACGCTGTTGTGCGGTATCCTATGATATTTATATACGTAAGCAGTTTTCTGCAGGTCATAATCCATTTTGTTTTCTATTATAAACAAGCTAGAATGAACATTTTTGAACATTTCTTTTTTACATCTGTGGGCTTATTTTCTTTCTCACGGCTGAAATTGATAAGAGAAATCACTCAGTTGTATAGTCTTCACATTTCAAAATTTAATGGACACTGGTAATTTGTTCTATATGGGGGCTATACAAATATATATGCCTAGTAGTAATTTCTGAGGGTGATAGACATTTCCACAAATCCTTGCCAACATTTTGTTACTACACTTTTTTTGCATTTAATTTGGGTTTTTCTATATATTTGAGGATGAGATTATTAATGATTTAGCTGTTCCAATAGCTCTAATTTATGTATTTGTTTCTTTAGCATTCGATCCTACTACAAACATTTATTAAGCATCCCTTAGAAGATACTGATAACCTATGTGACTAAGAGTCTTAGTCATGCTCCTTAGAACTGTCTGAATACCTGCTAGGAAGATAGCCTTACAGAGAGGACTTTTCTCTGTGTGACCCTAAATTTTATTTATTTTTTTTTAAGATTTTATTTATTTATTTGTCAGAGAGAGAGAGAGAGAGAGGAAGGGAGTGCACAAGCAGGAGGAGTGGCAGTCAGAGGGAGAAGCAGGCTCCCCTTGGAGCAAGGAGCCTGATGCGGGATTGGATCCCAGGACCCCGAGACCATGACCTGAGCCGAAGGCAGAAGCTTAACCAACTGAGCCACCCAGACATCCTTAACCCTAAATTTTATACTGGACTGCTAAAAAAAAAAAGGGAAGGAAAAAAAAAGTTTAGTAAACATGACATTTATGTATTTAAGTTGTTACAGGGTAAAATATCCCTATCTTCTTAATACCCAAAACTATCAGATTTATTCACATGAGCACGGGGTATTAGTGTCTTTTTTAACATCCTTGGCGTGTTGATAACTTGATATATTCTTACAGAATATATTTGAAAAATCACCATATATATAGCTTCCAAAAAGGAAGATGCTAGAAATAGCAATAATTTGCTACCTAGTGCATTGGGATCAAAACCCCTTACTTGGTTAATAAGAAAATGAAGACCCTTTGAAAAGCAGGGATTGTATTTGAGATAAAATTTTCACAGAGCTTAGCAGCCAGTCAATAGCCTTTGTGTACTAAGTACTAAATTAGGCATAATGGAAAATTTGTGTTTGCCTCTGAGAACTTAGAATATGGTTGGGGTGTCATAACACAAATTTACCAACATCAGATTTAAAAACCCACAGAGAAAATCAAAAGGGAAACCTTAGATTTGACCACTCACATGGATAATTAAGGGGAGAACAATTTTCAGAAGTAAGATTCCTCAGGGGGGAGCTTCCTAAAGACATAAATTTCAAGTTAGGTATTGTAGAAAAAAAAATGGATTAACAGGAAAACACAGGGCATATATTTCAGGTGAAGAAGGAGTTTAAAAACTATTTCTTGGTTTGATTATAATTCATATGCAAAGAACTGTTGTTCACAGAGACCAATAAAGTCACTTATTGAAGGTCTCTTTCCTTTTTATTCTGTGTTCAAAATTGCAGTTGAAATCTGGAGAGACAGCTGCCAACATTGCTAGAGAGCTGGCTGAGCAAACAAGAAATCATCTGAATGCTGGAGACATCACCTACTCAGTCCGTGCCATGGACCAGCTGGTAGGCCTCTTAGATGTACAACTCCGGAACTTGACCCCAGGAGGAAAAGATAGTGCTGCACGGAGTTTGAACAAGGTAAGGACTTTGCTTAGATATATAGTAAAATCAGTGAGACTGCTCTCTGTTAATTTTTCTCTTTCTGTAAAATCAGATCATTCTAAAGAGCATCACTAGTTATATTCAATCTGCTTCACTCTTTTATTATAATGGTGACCCTATTTGACCTCTAATCTAAAGACACAATAAGTGATAATCTCTCCTTACACATTTTGAATTTACAATTCTGTTTTCTTTGGTGCTTACTGTTTTGAATGCTAAATTCTGGCAAGGTCAGAGTAAATGTGATTTATTTTGTTTTTTTTCTTTCATACTTTTATATCAAAGTAATCATAATAAATAAATGTCTAATCAATAAGTAGAAGTTTAGAAAATAGCCTCAATGAGAAAGCATATTAGCAATTCATTAAAGATGTTTAAAAATGAAATAATTTAATCTAATTAATATACTTAAAAACTCATGGGATAAGTAATTAGGTTTTAATTTATATTTCCTTTTGATATTTAAATTTCTCAGATTTTACTTCACTATGTTAACACTTTTAGAAGGTTTAATTGTATTTCAGCAAATTTGAATTGTAAATAATGAAAATAATTCATTTTTTAAATTTCAGAGAAGATACATTTTTTATATTCTTATTTCTACTTACAAGTATATAATATACACTTATATAAACATAGTATTTTATATGTTTATTGTATATAACCTATCCAGTATATAAGCAGTTTATTTACATAAATATGTAAAGTATGTTTTACATCTTTTTAAGGAGTATAATTTATTCCTTATAAAATCACATGGCGAATTAACTCCCCGATGAAAAGATACTAGGATTGCTAGGTGTGTTCCCTGAAAGATATTTGTGTAGTAGAAGTGATCAGTTACTGAAACTGGATTTTAGGGCCTTGAATGTCATGATAGGCCTCCTACTTTAAAAAAGGCAAGAATTCGGCAGTAACAGACTAAAGTCCTCTAGGGAATTCACTAAATGAACTTTCCCCTTTAGAATGAAAAATGACTTTTGAGAGAGGTCTTTTAATATGTTAAGTGTTTTGTGTCTCACCAGACTAAGAGTCTCACTGATCAAGATGGAAGAAATTTTTCAAATAATGATGGTTTGATACAGGAAGGCCTGACATTCTATCTGGCAAATATGGTTTTTCCTGCAGTTTCATCCTCGGAAGACAGATTCCGTTTTATCTAGTAGATATAAATTATTATTAAAGTTTTTTTTCATGCTGAGCATTGAAGAGTTATTTTTGTCACTTATGCCCCTGATAGAATCACAACCAAGTCCCTAATAAAATGTAATCCACAGCTGCCTATGTAATCTGGACATGCTGTGATTTTAATGTGTTATTACCCAGGCTGACTGGATGCTATTAACGAATATTGCCACCAGCTATTGTTATCCTAATGTACTGGAAGTAGGATTTCTATTAATGTTACATATCCATAACATTACTTGTTATAGCAATACTTTGTATCTTTATTTAAAAATGGTGTTGATGTCTGACAATATCAGGTAAAGCTGGTAATTAATGTCACATTCTAACTGGCTACAGCTAATCAGCTTGCCTACTCTGAATATCAAATAACTACATAATGGGCAAATTTCCATTTGTGAAGCTTTTTAATGCTTTCTTTTGTTTCCCATTTGGCTCTTTTCAATTGTTTATATAATGTGGTTTGTCATATGTTAATTTGCATGATGGGGTAAGGAGATGGGAGGGCAAAGGTTGTTCACACGCTTGCTGGCTTGCTCTCATTTCCTGTGGTTCCCACTGTTCCCTGAAGCCGTTGTAACCCATCAGATTTGCAAAGTCAACTTGGTACAAATCAATTGAACTCCACATTGAAATTCTGAACTGTTTAGAGTCCTGCAAAACCAAGATGCGAGTCAGTGATCCAAATGACAGCGTTGGCAATTTACTTGCACTCATTCCTCACTTAATTCTTTAGAGGAGTAACTGCTCGATGCTCATTGAAGACTGCATGAATTACCGCACAAAAAGCATCAGAGTAACTGCTTCTTAAACCTGGGTAATTTTCTCCTTCAACAATCAAGGCTACTGAAGGAAAAAAATAGGGAAGAGGAAGAAAGTCACAGTCTAATTCTTGAAATTTTGTGTCATTTATTCAAACAGGGCAATTAAACTTACTACTTATTTATTTTATCACCAGGAAAAAAAATGGGATTGAATATGAGTTGTTATTAACCTTTTGCCCAGAAAAACATCACTCTGTTTGCAAACAAACAAACAAAAACAGGCTTCTTATCCCACAGAAGTTTCTAAAATGTTTAAGTTTTTTTGTTCGGTTTGGGTTTTTTTTTGTTTTTGGTCAAAACCATGAAAAGGAATTATTCAAGATATAAAAGCAGTGATAAATCAGAAGATTAATCACATTCTTCTAATCAAAAGTTACCTATCTGTTGGTATTTTTCCCTTGGAACCGAATAATCATAATGAATGGGCACTTCTATTTTTCTGATAAACAAAATTTCTTGTGTTTGAACATATGGTTTGTGGTGCATATTAACCATCTATATAATCTTTAAACCACAAACAATGTGGGTTCCAAATTTTTGACATAATTTACTTAATTTCGTATGTCTTCATTTGTGGCTCATGAATTAACAGCTAACCTGATGTGAAATGAATCATTTCAAATGACTGAAGTATAATGATTTTTACTAATTTCTACTAAATTTATTCCAAGATTTCCTCCCATCATTAACAACTTTATACCATCCAGTTTTCACTTGGGTTATTCTGAAAGGGTGCTGGCTACTAGTGTTCAAGCCATTCATTGCTTACATTCTGCTGCTGCTTAGCTTTCATTCTCTTCTAGAAAGTAGTGCACAACAAAATAAGGTGTTTTGTGTAGATGTGTTCTTTTATTTTTCTTGTTTTCTTCTGTCACTAACTTGTTTTTTCTATTCTGTGTTTAATCTGCTGTCTTAATGGATTCAGCTTCAGAAAAGAGAGCGCTCTTGCAGAGCCTATGTCCAGGTACTTTCTGCGTTTTTATAAATGTGTTAAGTTGTTGAATTGTCTCTGTTGGTGGTAGCATTTATGGGCATCTGATAGAAAAATGATAGTGTACCCTGTTGAGCTAAAGGGATTTCAGGGAGGGCATGAAGGGTGGGAATAGAGAGACATGTTGCAAGTGTATGTGCCTTAAAAGAAATTTGGCAGTGCCCATGCTCTGTCATATACAAGATGAATACAGACCAACAAGGAGGTGTAACTTGGTATGTGACAATTTTGATCACAACTAAAAGGTGAGTTGGATGTAATATATAAATCTCTCATTTCTTCATAGAGGTGGTGTGTATGAAAACATTTCATTAATACATTAGGCCAATTAATATTGAGTAGCAAATCACTCAGAAATGACATATAATCAAAATTCTATAAGACAAAGAATAGTCCAGAACATTTGGAATATCATGCTTCTGTACCAAAATGTTTAACCCATGCTGTGACTGTCTTATTTTCCCACTCACTGTAAACATTTTAGTCCTGATATAAATGTGATTTTTCTCCAGTTAACATGTTGTAATTTGTTTCTAAGCAGTGTAGAAACCATTGCTATGTTTATGGGTTCTGTGTGAAAAGATCCTAGAAACAACCTTTATAGTTATTTTTACAAGGGAAGAAGGCAGGAAGGCAGTGTAGAAGTGGGAAAAATTTTCCTTTTTTCCCACTAGGTTCTTTGGCTGGTGTAATGATTAAATTGATGTAAAACAGATTAACAGGAGAAAAACAAATTTAATTCCATATGTACAGGAGCCCCCAAAAGATATGAGACTCAACAGCAGTCAGGCAGTTGAGGCTTATATGTCATCTTGAGCTAAGGAATGGGAAAGGAGCCAGGGGCTTCAAGAAAGAAGAGGGAAAATAATTTACATCAAACAGATATTAGATAATGTGCATTTTACTTTATAAATTAATGAATTTCTGGGTATAAGAAACATTCCTTTGTTTTTGTTTTGTTTTGTTTTTTCTCCTAAGGCTTTGGGAATTTTATACACACACACACACACACACACACACACACACACACACACACACATGAAAACCTATCCTCTTAGTATGTACAATAGGTAGAGAAGTTGAAGTACTCTTCAGCAATGAAAGCTGAAGATCATTTTTGAGCAATATTAGGATTGTTTTTGATTGCAATCTATGCTATCCCCTTAATGGGGCCTTGCAGATAATCAGACTTTCAGTATTTAAATCTATGAAATGCATGGCCATTCAAACATGAATCTCTGATGGAAAATTAATAGCACAGTTTATTCAATGGTTGATTTCCTGGTGTTGTAATTGACTGGCTGTGAATAAATGTTTCAGCTATTGACTAAACATCTGATAAGACCAAATACAAACAGAATATTTGTGAAGCAGAAATGCTCTGCTCACTAAGACATGGCATTAGTTCTATTCGTTGTCACGTAGATTATTACTCCATGAAATTCTAGGGTAAATCATACTTTAAACTTTAGTCTATTTGAATTTTAAAGACTTGGCTAATGTCCCTAGTGTTTCTGCTTGGAGCACATTCTGAGCTATCTTTGAAATAGGTATAAAATACACTAGAAGTGCTTTATGTATTAAATTTGAAAAATATAATTATTTAGGTGTCATGAGATTCTTAAAAAATGTGGCCTTTCCACGGGTTTAAGTAATGATTCTTCTAGGTTTGACTTTGACCATTAAATCCATTTAGCTTTTAACTATTTAGAGGTACACTGTCTATTCTATGAATTGCCTAGATCCATCCTTCCATTTGTTTACTTTTTACTTCCTATATTTGTTTATTTCACCAAAAAAAGCACAGTAAAATCTGGACCATCATCTGTCAACCATGATAACTGTTAACAGATCTGTAGGCGAACAAGTAAATGGTGGTTGCTTTGATTTTTTAAATAATATGTGGATCCCCAATACTCATTATGCTTGCACCTCCAAAATTTTAACAAAACCAAACAATTGGGTCCAATATTTTTCTTATTTCGTTTTAATTTAGATTACACTGAAATCTTTGTTTACTATCAAAAGATAGAAACTAATATGAGTCATAGTAAAAAAAAAAAGGAAGAAGAAGAAGAAATCACTACATGTCTTGGGCAAAAGAGATACCTTCATTTAAGAAGAGAGTGTTAAATTTTATGCCAGAGAAGACAAGTAAGGCTTGTGTTACATATGTATATTAGATAACTACTGTGATGTCATGTATAAATAGAAGGTACCTTAAAGATGAACATGAGTTAGCTGGAGAGATGAGATGACTGGCCCAAGGTCACACATTGGCACCCATGGCACTAATACGGCTATTCTAACGTGCCTTCAATGCTTTCTCAACATCAACAATGATTTATTATTGAGAATAACTGCAGTTATTAGGCAGTAGTTATGTGGCCATCACTGTGGGGGGCAGTTTGCATAAATTCTTATTTAATATCCACAAAAATCCTATGATATAATTATTGCTATTTTAACTTAGAGTGGAGAAAATGGAGCCCAGGAGGAATTAAATGACTTTCACAAGATCATGCAATAGTAATTGAGGGGGTCTTGAATTCAAAGCTAGGACTTCCTGACTCAGAATCTCATGTTCCAAATCCCTAGGATATCTCTGTTATAGAACTGACTTCATTATTTATTGTTAGGAGTCAGGATAGATCTTCTGGTTTATGTTTATTGATTTATTTTATTGTATTTCAGGGCTAGTATAGAGTAAAATAGTTTTTTCTTTCCTTTTTGTTTGAGATTGAGTTGAAATGAATCATTTTTGTACTGTTGATTAAGTGCAAATAAACACATAATTTGCTTTGAGGTCCTTTTGTTTTCAGAGGTCTCTGTGATCAAAAAATTGCCGTATTAAGAGAGGAGAAAAACAAATAGGAAGTACAGTAACTCTCTGTTAAAGGAGGATCTGACAAACTGTTTTCCAGAGTGACTGCACCATTTTGCAATGTTCCACCAACAATGCATGTTCCTTCACATCCTCAGCAACGCTTGTTATTTTTTGTCTTTTTGATTATAGCCATTCTAGTACAGGTGAATTGCCAAAGTTCTTAATTCCAGTCATGGAATGGGGACAGGGGGTCTGGGAGTATAGTCCTTGAACCAGTAAAAAGTCACATGGCTCCAAAAAGAGATGCATGAGAGTCTGGGAGGAAAATATGACTTCAAACCACTTAAGAACAACTATTTCATGTTCTTTAAATGTAACCAGCGCTTAGATTTACATTTTTTTCTCATTTTTAAGTAGTAATATTTGTATGCATTGTTCTCTTCTTTAGCAGGAAATATTAAGAATTACTGGCATTCATTCTTCATGGCTTTAGAAGCAGGACATTTCCCTACTAAGGAAATAAGTATTTTTTTTTAATTTTTATCAGCAATTCCTTTGTTCTCCAGATCTCAGAGGCTGCGCATACTCCCTGGAGGGTCTGCAGTCAACCTTGCTTAATGGAAGATATAAGTACATACAGTTATCCATATGAATCTTTTGAGTCATTCTTTGGAATCTGCTATTAACTGCACCATCAGGTTGAGAACTGATCAGAAAAAATTGGTAGATAGATGCAAATGAATGAACACACACACACACACCCTGGTCCCCTTCCTTCCTCTCCTCCTCTTCTCCTCTTCCTCCTCTGCCACCTTCTTCTTCTTCAAAGGTAGGGGGTCTGTGTTCTTTAAAACTTACAAAGTATTTGGGGACGCCCGGGTGACTCAGTCGGTTAAGCATCTGCTTTCAGCTCTGGTCATGATGTCAGGGTCCTGGGATTGAACCCCGTGTTGGGCTCCCAGCTCAGCAGGGAGTCTGCTTCTCCCTCTGCTACCCCCCAATAAATAAAAAAAAAAATCTTAAAAAAACTTACAAAGTATTTGAAACAAGCCATCTGTTTATTTCAGTTTGGAACTATGATTTGTTCATTACTTATTTATTAATTTAGTGTTTGTTTTACCTTAATTATCCCCTAGAGATCTCTATCCTAGGCACGAGCATGGAAAAACAGTATCTGTCTTAGTGGTGGGGGGTGGGAGGGATTGGGTGGCTGAGTGATAGACATTGGGTAGGGTATGTGCTATGGTGAGCACTGTGAATTGTGCAAGACTGTTGAATCACAGATCTGTACCTCTGAAACAAATAATGCAATATATGTTAAGAAAAAAAAAAAGAAGAAGAAGATAGCAGGAGGGGAAGAATGAAGGGGAGTAAGTCGGAGGGGGAGACGAACCATGAGAGACGATGGACTCTGAAAAACAAACTGAGGGTTCTAGAGGGGAGGGGGGTGGGGGGATGGGTTAGCCTGGTGATGGGTACTAAAGAGGGCACATTCTGCGTGGAGCACCGGGTGTTATGCACAAACAATGAATCATGGAACACTACATCAAAAACTAACGATGTAATGTATGGTGATTAACATAACAATAAAAAATTATTAAAACCCACAAATCTGATCACAGGAAAAAAAAAGAAATAAACCACAGAGTAGTTAACAACAAAAACAGTCAGGAGTTAATAGTTGAGCACAGGGACCCGATAACCTTATCAGCACTGGGAATGCAACAATGTACATAACAGGCAAAATCCTGCTCTCCCTTGTAGGGTGAACTTTCTAGGGGCAGAATATAAATAATACAGTAAGTATGCGAAAAATATGGCATATGAGATGATGATAAATACTAAGAAAAAGAAAGCAAGAAATGCATCACTGAGGTGATTATCTGAGCAAAACCCTGAAGGAGGTGAAGGAGTGAACTATGCAGCTATGCAGGAAAAAGCCCTCTAGCAGAGAGATAGAGAGTTCCTGAGGCCAGTGTGAAAGAGAAGAGGGTCGTGGAGCATGAATGTGCGGGATGGCAAGGGCCCAGATCTGAAAGAGCATTGTAAGGACGCTGGCTTTTATTCCCAGAGACACAGTAAACCACTGTGGTTTTCCGAGCAGAGTGATGACATGAACGAATGTGTTTTACAAGTGAAGGGTAGA